GGCGCTGGACCTCGACGCAGCTCGTTCTAAACAGAGGGTATTTTGCCCTTGAAAGAGAGGCTTATTGTTTCAGTTAATGAAAACAATAGGAGCCAGCTCATGGAAAGATTGCCATCATCCCAATCGCCAGCTGGGTGATTTGGAAACGTCGTTTCAAGTGCGATTTCTTTTTTATTGGTAGAAACAAATGGAAAATCCTTAAATCGAAAGGGGAAAAAAATTGGAGCTCTTTCTTTTTAGTTAAGTCTCGTTGGTTTTTTTGTTTGTTTTTTAAATATATCTTTATTGATTTCAGAGAAAGGAAAGGAGAGGGAGAGAGAGAGAGAGAAGCATCAGTGATGATGGGCACATGCCCTGACTGGGAATCGAACCCCGATTGCCTGGATCCCAGGTCGGAGCTCAACTGCTGAGCCACGCCCCGCTGGGCAAGTGCCACTCTTTTTAATCAGAGGAACACATATTTTCAGATATCCTCTCCACTGCTGCGTTCTTCTCTACGTAGCAAAGGGATAAAAATTTTCAAATAATAAAACATTTTTTTCAGTTTCATTTGCTGAATTGCTAGACTTCGTAAAATTTATTTTCAGGGCATGACTTATTTTGAACTTGCGAATATAGATTTTTTTTCGCCCCTGAAATTCCCCCCCAACTTCTAGTTTGCGCAGGAGCCCGTGTAGAGTGGCACAGAGAGGAGGAGCTGTGGGCCCCCTGGCCCCGCTGTCCCTGGTGCCCTGCTTGATTCCCTCGGGACTCCTGGCTGCGGCCCCTTTTGAAGGTCTGAAGGAATAGACTATCTTGCAGCCTCTCCTGGGGGCTTTCTCCAAGGTTCCTTTAAATTCATAAGTAAGACGTTCTTCCCAGGTGATTACCCTGATTTAAACTCATTCAGTAAAGTTTTGCTTTTCTGGACATGGAGACTGATTGGCCAGTGCCATCCCTAAGGTGACCTCCTCTGTTCTAAAAAGATCCTTAGCCCTTATGTTTTCCAAATATTCTCGCATGTGCTGACTTTCTTGCTAAGTCCGATTTTTCCATCTTTTCACTTTCCTATCACTCTTGCAACACTTTTAATACTATTAGTAGCAACTTTTCTTCGGGTTATTTCAAAAAATCACGGCAGCAGTTGGTGGTGGTTCTGTTTTGTTGTAAAAGAACAGAATCCTTTTTCTCATTCAGTTCTGACCCACAGATCTTTTGTAAAATACTTGTGGCTAACCAATCTTGATATCATTTACTTTTTACCTTTAGAAGTGTTCTGCCCAGTTTATGTGCCTCTCTGCCGTTGGACAGGACCTTGATAGAACAGATTCACCTCTCCTCTGTTAATTGATGACTCAGCTTCATGAGTTTTACTCATGTAATACTGAATTTTTCCACATTGAGCACTTTGATTTTTTTGTTATTGTTAATCCTCACTCGAGGATATTTTTTCCATTGATTTTTTATTTTAGAGAGAGTGGAAGGGATGGGGAGAGACAGAGAGAGAAACATTGATGTGAAAGAGACACATCGATTGCCTCCCACACATGCCCTGACCATGGCCGGGGATTGAGCCTGAGACCAAGTTACGTGTCCTTGACCGGAATCGAACCCATGACCCCTTAGTCTGCGAGCCGACCCTCTAACCACTGAGCCAAACTGGCCAGGGCTAGCACTTTGATTTGTTCATGTGCCCCTCATATTGTTTTTTTTGTTTGTTTTATTAATATATCTTTATTGATTTCAGAGAGAGAAAGGGAGAGAGAGAGAGAGAAACATCAATGATGAGAGAGTCGTCATTGATCAACTGCCTCCTGCATGCCCCCGACTGGGGATTGAGCCCACAACCCGGCCATGTGCCCTAACTGGGAATCAAACCGCGATCTCCTGGATCCTAGATCAATGCTCACCTGCTAACCCACCCCCACCTAGACCTCATACTGTTTATTAACAGATTGATGGTATAACTTTATCAAAACCTTTTTGTCCATAAGTTGTATTTCTAAGATTGGTGCTAATTAACATTGTGGGACAGTGATTGATTCTTCATTGACATTGAGTGTGGACATCTGAGCAATTTTTTTTCCCCTGTAAAGGTGGCACTGTGTAATCTCTATGCCAGGTGTCAGCCTGAGGCCGCACATTTTTAAGGTGCTACGAGCTTGAGGAAGTACTAGACAGTATTAGTACTTGCTGAAATATGTGTTTGATGCTAAATTAGAAATTTGCACATACCTTTGAGTATAGTTCTACAATCAGGAACACAAAATTTCTAATTATTCAGAGAATATAAGGAAAAATAGTGTTAACCATCAGAAAGAGCTCTTTTTTTTTTTTTTTTTTTTTTTTTAAAGGGATTGAGACAATTTCTTTGCTTGGTTTACTTGAAAACTTTTTTCTTTTCTTTCTGTCATGTATCTCCATTTTATCCCAAAGTGCACAGTTTCCTTTAATCTTCAACCTTGATCTTTTTATCTTTCAAAAAATGCCATATTTGCTTGATGAAACCTCAGGGAAATGATAACGCTTTGTATTCACTGAAAGTGGTCACTCATCTTGCTTTTTATTTGGTCATTCGGTTTTTGTTCGGTAAAACAGACATGCATGACATTTTGGAAGTTTGTCCAGTTTTAAAATTCAATCCTACCTCTCAAAAAAATATGTTTTCAGCTGCATGGCCATTCCATCGCCCGGCTCTCCTCATCCACAAGCATCTATCTGAAATGTTCTTGCAGTTATCTGTACATGAGAAGTGTGGACTTGAAAACCCCCATTTAGGCTTCATTTATGGAGACCACCCAAGTAGAAGATTTCACTATTCCTTCTGAAATCTTTTCTCTGTTGGAGGGGTGGTGCTTTGAGAACTACTAGATATCACTGAAAAGGCAGATATTAATTCAAGCAGTGTTCATTGTTCCATTCTCTGTTCTACAGTGATAAAGAAGAATCAGATATCTTAGTGTATCACTGGGAGAGGCTTTAGTTGGTGGTTCAAAAAACCACTCTTGAAGCTTTTTATTTTAGGAATAAAAGCATACCCAGGCATACGAAGATATAAATGAGCTTCTGATTTATTACAGTTATAGTTGTCCCATAAATTCCTTGTCAGTTATTTCATATGCATCAGAAATAACATGCTGGGCTCCAGCGTTGCAGTTGAAGCTGGAATTTAAAGCAGGGAAGTGCAGAAGCCATAAAATGATGAGGCATCTGGGTGCCATACTGTGCCTGTGCAGCCTTGAGCCACAGGAAAAGAGCTCCAATAAAATGATTGCCTTTGCAAAAATGAGAAAATCTATTTGGCATTATAAACTGGAAAGGGAAATGAATGTTAAAAATTAGCCTGGAAGAGGTATTCGGAACATTGCTCTCCAGGTGAGGGGATTTGGTGAGTGTTTTTGCATAAAGGGGTCTTTCTGTTTTTATAGAATAGATACAGGTCTAGTTAAGTTGATTATAAGGGAAGTCAGATTGTCCATTGATGTTTCATATAAAATCAGAATGATGTTTGCTGGATGTCATGTCTGTGGTAGATGATCTAAAACAGCAACAACGGCTGTGGTGAAGGACATTGGTTATGTCCTGTGTGTTGGAGATCCTGAAATGTCTCCGGTGACACCCTGCATCTCCTGGGCCTCCCTCCTGCCACAATTGGTGTCTCTCACTTTTTGACCCATTCCTGGAATGCTCTGGTTTTACAGTTGAAGCTCCTAGAATGTAAGTCCCAGAACGAAGCTCTAGTCCTTCATTTGCCTATTTAAAAGGTTGAGCCTAAACTTCAGTGTAACAATTTTTGGTACAAGCAATAGTTTTCAGTGTGGCCCTACTAAGAAGTAGTAGAAGAAACTAACACGTGTAGAGTGTCTGCTTTGTGCCAGGTAGTGTGCTAAAAGTACGCAAATAGGTGCTAAAGTAGTATTTTACAGAGGAAGAAACCAGAGCTCAGAGAGTTGAAGTATTTTACCTATGGTCACACAGCAGTAAGTGGCAGAACCAGGATTTGGATCCACACCTATGGGATTCCAAAAACCTAGGCATTTTTCTTCTGGATGTTTCTTCGTCAATTCACCTAATATATATCTAAAGTACATTTATTTTAAATAAGCAGTGTTTATAGTATACATTGTGCTGTGTGTTCACTTCCTCTATTTCCTAGCTGTTAAGTAGAGTTCTCTGAGAAAGATGATACAAATTATGGAACCCAAATCTGCTATTCAACTTTTATTAACAGTTGCTTAAAAAAAAAAAATCAGTTATAACAAAAATTAGTGTGCTTTTAAGTTTCTCTTTTTTTCTTACAGATTTTTTTTTTTTTGGTGTGGGGAGGGTCATGGAGAGAGATGGTACCTGAGTAGCTTTTGCTAGAAAAACAAAAGGGAATTCAAACCAAGTTTTGGAAATACAAAAATCATGGAAATATATGTAGCTCCATAAAGTTTGAAACCAACTAAAAGAACATGAAAGTTTTTATTCTTCATAACATCTGTGTTTTTCATATTAAATGAAAATTAAAGACAGTCACTGAATCAACTCTTTTCTTTCTGGCAAATGTGGCATCTTCATTTCATACACTCTGAGCAAAGGGGTCATAATTAATGAAGTTGGGCAGTTAGATGGGGACGTTTCCAGCATTTTTGGCTAGATCAGGAAAGCAGTGAGTGAGTAATCCTCTTGGCCTGATTGGACTACTGTAAACATAACCTAGTTTCCCCCTTCTTAGCAATTTAAAACTAAACAAAAGAGTCCGTTAGAAAAGCCCGCTGTCGGGCAGAGCCATAGGATTTCAGACCTGGGTTTCCAGACCCCTCTGAGCACAGGGATTCCCTCCTCATCACCACTGTATTCAGCTGCTGTGAAGGGGGCTGGGAGGGGAAGTCTGTTGCTAGGAGACAGGGAAACTTGGAGCAGTTAACACACGGATAGTTTTTTGTTGTATTTTTCTTAAGCAGTTGGCTTTTGCATGTTTAGGGGATTCTGGACCCCTGGTGTAGGCACAGTTCCAGTGACAAATTCCCTTATAACATGAATCATGTATTTTTTTCCCCATCATTTCTCGTCCCGTGTTCATCCTGTAATGTATTTGTGATTCAGTGACGTCCTGCAGATGGGAAATGCGCTGGGTTGGGGCACTGCTGGCTGGCTCCTGCCTAACTGTCCTCTCTCCTCTCCGCAGAGAACCTGCAGTTTTGGAGGATTTGACTTGACAAATCGTTCTCTGCACGTTAGCAGTAACAACTCTGACCCAACGGTGAGTATACACCAGCGGAAAAGCCAAAGGTTTGATTCAAGGGAAGTGGTCGACATAGCTTCTCATCTAGGCTCTGAGAATTGATATTGGGTAATCTTTTCCTTGGTGATCCTAAATCATATTAGAAAAGAAGCCCTATTTCAGCCATCGTTTTTAAAAAATTTGTAATTAATTTTTAATGAATTTATTGGGGTGACATTGGTTCATAAAATTATATAGGTTTCAAGTACAGTTCTATAATACATCATCTGTATGTTGTATGTGTGCTCACCTCCCCAAGTCAAGTGTTCTTCCATCACCATTTATCCCTCCCTTTACCCTAGTCTACATCTCCCCACACTCCTTTCCTTCTGGTAATCACCAGACTATTGTCTGTATCTATGAGTTTGTTGTTGTTTTTTCTTTGTTTGTTAATCCCTTCGCCTTTTCCACCCAGCCCCCCAACCCACTTCCCTTAGAGACACTTTTCTCTTGCACGGAAATGAGCCACGACCACCTTTGGCCTCCATCTCTCTCCTTATAGTAGCACCATTCCTTCAGTGTCTGTGTTTCCAGTTTTCTCCAAGTCACAGATCCAGATGCGTATGGCCTCTTGGTCTCATGCTAGTTTTCGTTCACACTGATTTTAAGTGCATATGGCCACTACACAGAAGCAGCGCCACAGGATGGAGCCCTGTGATTTGCGTTCAAGAGCATTTGCCAGAATTTCTAAAAACCAATTTTATCATAGGCCAAGTACTTAGCTCCATATTAAGCCTAGGTCTTTGTGATCTGGGGTGTCCTGGAATGAACCCAGTCTTCTTGGGGCCAAAGCAAACCAGACTTCTGAGGGCTGAGCATACTGGCTCCTCTGACCTGCCTCCCCTGGATCACAGTCTGGGGATAGGTCCCCACTGTGCTGTACAAGTTCTGCTCTCCATGTTTCCTTTCGAAGGTACCCGCAGATGTAGGTGAGTTCTACATATAGTTTTGTTTTCCTTTGTGCTCTTTGTCAGGAAACTGCTTTATATTGCTATGATCAAGTGTCAGCTAAAAACACCCATCTGTGATTTTTGAAGTGTTTGAGAATTTCCTGGAAGAATAAAACTATTTTATTTGGATATCAAGTTTTATTGATTTGTAAACCAATAATTTTATGTAGTCAGTCTTTTTAAAAAAAGAGAGAGAGAGAAAGTATGAGTTTTTCCCTCCCACTCTCCAGGGAAGGCTATTTTTTTATTTCAGCGAAAAGTAAGACAAGAGGTGACCACAGTCTGATTTTTTTTCAGAAAAGGAAATTTACACACTTAGGAATTGACCACACCAAGGGCCACCCTGATGCAAATCCAACCAGATGTTGACTTGGAATGACTGAGATTTCCCATTTTGTTCTCGCCACTTTCCTAGGTGATGCAATTGTATTGCCTTTCTCTTCTCCCCCACTGCTGGGGTTATGGGAACCTCGGTTCATCTCAGTCACTCTTCATTGATGAAATGCAGTCCCCTTGGGTATTTAAAATGGTGGGGAAAAGTATAATAGAAGGAATGTACTAAGATTAAATAAAAAATATCTCACATCTCACTTTAAACAAACAAACAAAAGCCCTTAGTGAGTAGCTTTTAATTTTTAATCAAAAAGATAAATAACATGCACCTGAAACTAATATAAAATAATACTGAATGTCAACTAATAAAAAAAAAAAATGAAAAAACAAACAAAAAGGTTAAAACATGATTAATAACATAGCACTGAGTTAACATAGGAAATATTTCAGAATCCTGGGGGATGCCCTTGTTTTTCTGAGACATAGAACATTCATGGCTTGGATAACAACCTGTTTGGGGGCTTTATTTCCTGTGATTAAAGGCACTTACTTTGTTTTGCAGGGTAAAGAAGGAGATTTTGTCTACAAGGAAGTCATCAAATCACCCACTGCCTCCCGCATCTCTCTCGGAAAAAAGGTCAAATCAGTAAAAGAGACAATGAGGAAGAGAATGTCTAAGAAATACAGCAGCTCCGTCCCTGAGCAGGTACGCAGCTGCCCAGCCAGGGCCCCGCGCTTCCCCCGACGCAGGGAAGGCCAAGGACGGCCAGCCTGAGGTTTTAAATGGTGCTGAATGCAGACATTGATTGGTATTAACCTGGCCCAGGGACCATATTTAGTGTATGTAGATGAACATTTGGTACAGCAAACATTTACTAAGCACTAGGGTCAACCTAGCACCATGCTTGGTGCTGGGGGATACACAATGCAGGCCTCACCTTCTATATGCAGACGGGAGGAGAGACAGACATGTAGACGATTGATTACTCCTTAGTGCAGTGAGCACTAAAATTTCAACACAAAGGAAGGATTTTATTTTCTAAAATCCCTTGCTACAAAATGGATGTCACCAGATTCAAACCTAAAACACACACACACACACACACACACACACACTCTCTCTCTCTCTCTCTCTCTCTCTCTCTCTCTCTCTCTCTCTCTCTCAAGATTTCTTAGGCAGCAGACTTTCCCAATGTAGCATGAGTTATTCTAGAAACCCACAGCAAGTCTGAGAAGCAAACTCTGAAAACGCTTCCTGGCTACAGGACTTGGATAGAAATCATGTTTCCACGGGGATATTTTCACTAATGGGCTCTGTCTGCAGCCATTAAGATATCATGGAATTGATCCCCTCTGATTCTGTAATCCCACCACTAGAAAGACAGTTTCTGTCTCAATTATGTGGGTGCGGGGAATAAAGCCATGAAGGCTGGGCCTTTAGGTAATTCTGACCGTTAGATTTTCAGAGTCCTTGCCTCAGGCACCTCTATAGAATTCACTTTGTAGTCTGTTGAAGCACTTGCATACCCGGTTGTCTACTTGAAATACATAGGTAATACTGCTTTATCTACCAAATAAAAACGGGGAAAGCAGACATGTGGGCTTAGCTGCTGCCCTCTGGTGGGCAGAGTAAGCTAAACTCCAAGCAGCACCTTGTTTGCATCGCTGAACACCCACAGCCAGGCAGTCAGCCACCCACAGTGATTCAGAGAGCCAGCCTGCGCAATAGCTTCAGTTGACTGCAGTGGTTCTCCCAGGGAGTGGGGTGATTTTGCTCCCCCACCAACCCCAGGGCATTTGGACAATCACAACTGGGCCGGGGCCGGCTGTATGCTACTGACATCTAGTGGATAGAGCCTGGGGAGGCATCTTAGAATGCACAGGGCGGCACCCAACTGCAGGAATCATTCCTCCACAGTGCCGACAGGGCTCAGGTTGAGAAGCCCTGGCTTATCAGACCTACAGGGGAGGTCCGGCTGCCTCCAGTGTGCCTGCCCTAGGTTTTTGTTCTGTATCCCTTGCATATCTTGTCCCTATGGGGGTGGGAGTGCTGGTGATTCTGTATTTATGACCAAACAAAGCAAACTGCACTCTCCTAGGAAGCAGTCATGCCACTGAAAGCCGCACCTCTAATTTAAAGCATTTTGTGTAGTTGGCTTTTCCCCTAAACGCTCATGTAAACTTACTATTCCTAGGGGTTTTCTGCTTTATGGATCATGAGCATAGAACTTTAATGAATCTGACCATTTTCCTATAATTTTACTACTATATACCTGCCTGTATTGTCCTCTGTTTTTTTTTAAAAGCAGTCATTTCACATATGTGGGGGAGAAAGAGAAGAAATAAGTGATCATTATAATGCTTTTTAGGGAGAGAAGATGAATGTTGCAAGGTGGGTTTTGTTTTCAGGGTTTTGTTTTTGTTTTTTTAAAATTTTTTAGTAATTATGTTAACTGTTCTGGTGAGGATTTTTGTCTGCTCCATTCCTGCTACATTCCCATTACCTGAAGTACTACCTGTTCTTGTAGGGAGTCAATAAATATGTGATTAGTAAACTAATAATTTTTAAAAGCATTTAAGAATATACAGTATCAGAGAGGTACAATTAATATCACTATTTTTTTTTTAAATGTGCTTTTAGCAGAAGCATTTTAAAAAATTTAATTGGATAGATGTCTTATTTTATGATTTAGGGATGAAAATATATTTAGGCCCTGGCCGGTGTGACTCAAATGGTTGAGCATCATCCTGTGCACAGAAAGGTCACCGGTTCGATTCCCTGTCAGGTCACATGCCCAGTTTCTGCTCAGTCCCCGGTGGGGGCTTGTAGTAGGCAGCTGATCAGTGTTTCTCTCTCTTCCCCCCTGCCCCCTCCTTTTTAAAATCAATAAAAACATGTTTTTTAAAAAAAGAAAATATGTTTAGGAATTCATACTTTGTGGCTCCAATAACTTTCAAATAATGGCAGCTCTGTTAATAGTTTTTGTTTTTGAGGCCATCTGCTCTCTTTCCTTAAATGTAAAGCATCATGTGTGTTGGATGAGAAGCTGCCATGGTTGTTGACTTTAAATGTTTGCAGAACCCGTGGAATCTTGTTAAAAGCCCTTCTGATGATTCGGCACCATGCAAATAACAGGTTTCGTTTAGATGGTTTGGTGCTCACATGACTGTATAATATGCCAGAGAGCTTTCTGTTGTGGCAAGTAAACCGTTCTCACTGCAAACTTTTGAAGAGAGACATTGATGCACCACTAATCAAGTGAGCATGCTATACTTACATGAGTAAACGAGGGGCTACCTAGCTGATGACATAGCCCCCCAAAAGTGATCTCAAAGGGTCACCAAAGCTGTTTACTAACAACACAGAAAGAAGTGATAGATACTAAAACCTGGGAACAACTGATAACTAAAATGTATGGAAATTTCATCATAATGGTATTTTCATCAAAAATGGTATTTTTGCTATATATCTAGGTCCTAAGCTGGTATTTCATTAGCCACTTTCATTAATTTGTCTAACTAGAAGCATAAGAATCTGGTCTTTTTTAAAAAACAAGGAGTATGCATTTTTTAAATATAAATGTTTTCCTTCAAATAGATGAAATACTCCCTGTCAGTGCTCTCAGATACTACATTGCTAGTGGACTCTGCTTGATCTGCATTTGAGGTCTGGCTTCATTCCTGGACTGTTGAGTATGCTAAGGGTCTCTAAGTCTTTAACGAAGGATTTTTGTCTAGGAGGTAGATAGGTGTTTCTCAGGGATTTCAAGAACTTCTATTTGAGCATGAAAAATGATTTTTAATTGCTTAATAGTCACTCAGGCTACAACTTTAAAACAGAGCATGGATATAGATGAAAAAGGAGGAGAATATTCGCTATGGCATCAAATATGGGTACAAAGATTGATAGGATTGACTTAGTTGAGGGCTTTGAATTCAAAACAACAGTCGTCCTCTCTGATGAAACGTAATTTTGTTGAAATCCGTTGCAGGACATGGGCCTCGATGGAATGCCGGGCTCCCCTCCGTCTTCCCAGCCTGACAGTGAACACATGGACAAGCCCAAGCTCAAAGCCGGAGGTTCTGTAGAGAGTCTGCGGAGTTCTCTGAGCGGACAGAGCTCAATGAGTATGTCTGCTTTGTAACTGTAGATGATTTCCTTTGGGATCAAAATCAGACCTACTGGGTATCAGTTTCAGGCAACTTAAAGATAAAGAAGCCCACATTCCTACCCTTAGAGTGCTGTTAGACAGATAGACCTGCAGATATCTGGACCTAGAGTCCTATTTGTCTAGTAGATGTATAGCAGTGGCTTGCGGGGAGGGGGTGGTGAATTTGGATTGAGGAGATACGGAAAGCATCTCAAAGGAAGGATCTGGAGAGTGGGGGAAGATAAGTCAACTCTTCAAGGTCATGAAGATGACCAGCAAAGTAAGAGATGGGGGAACGGAGGAGAATTCTGAATGTCACTGATAACCTGCTGTTCAACCACTCTGACCAGTGGTGGGGGCGGTAGAATGATATGGGGGAAGGGATCATGTTTAAATCCACCACTTGAAAAGCATTTGGCCTTGGGCAAGTTATGTGACCTTTCTGAGTTTGTTTCCTCATCAGTAAAATGGGATAAAATGGTATGCCTGACCAATGAGAGGTCATGAATATTCCAGACTTGTGATGTCACCTCCATTCCTAGATCATAAAGATAACTTGCTGGAGTCCTGCCTGTGCAATTAGGGGCTTGGTTAGGAGTAACAATCAGAAAACCAGATCCTCCTCAACTCAAAGCTGGGTCCTGCTGGCCCTGACATGGCTGAGGCTCACAATTTTGCCCTTAGTGTCTCCGCCTGCAGTTCCTTCAGTGTCTTTCAGCTTTGCTCTGCAGGGCGTCTGTATTTCTCCTCCTTCCTGTGTTTCCTGTGCAGGTGGGCAGACAGTGAGCACCACCGATTCCTCCACCAGCAACAGGGAAAGCGTGAAGTCGGAAGACGGTGATGATGAGGAGCCCCCCTACCGGGGCCCCTTCTGTGGGCGCGCCAGGGTGCACACCGACTTCACACCCAGTCCCTATGACACGGACTCGCTCAAGCTCAAGGTGTGTCTCTGCCTGGCCTTAGATCTGGGCTCTTGGTTCTTTAAGAGGTGTCCTTTCCTGCTGAATGCTGGGCTCCAGTGGTGCATACTGGCCGATGTCTTGGCTTTCGTAATAAGCTGGCCTCTGTGGTGAAAAACAGAACAGAACCAGCCAGCATTTGGCACAGAGGCATGTCTTGTGTTAGTCCCCAGTCCTCACCACCTTATCCTCCTGGCCCTGAGCTCTGACCTCAGCTTCCCTCTAGAATTCCTGTTGCCTTCCAGCCTCCAGTTTCTGTGCTTTCTCCTGCTAAAGGAACCTTACTGCCTTCTCTGTATGGTCAGTGGTATTTATGTGGGACAGATGGAGCTCCACAAAATGTAGGAAGCAGTTACGGAGAGAGGATTGCCACTGGCATTTGATCGGGAGAAATTGTTTCCCTAAGCAGTAGGAGCTCTGGATGATGGCAAGGCATTCAGAGAGCCAGGTGCCTCCCACCTAGCCATGAGCGCTAGGAGACCCGTCATCCTGTTGGAACTGGCGGAGTCAGGAGTGTTCTCTCTGGCCCTCTCCCAAGCTTCCATTCCTAAGGAACCTTGATTCTGGCCTTCTTAGTGTTTTCACATCTGCATGATGAATACATCTCATCGATTCCTGATTCATGCTTAGAAATGTGCCTAATGGAAAGATCTTTGTTCCCTGGGCCACAGAAAGGAGACATCATTGATATAATCAGCAAACCACCCATGGGCACCTGGATGGGCCTGTTGAACAACAAGGTGGGCACCTTCAAGTTCATCTACGTGGATGTGCTAAATGAGGAAGAGGAGAAGCCCAAGCGCCCTGCCAGAAGGAAGAGAAAAGGAAGACCACCCCAGCCCAAGTCCGTGGAGGATCTCCTGGATCGGATTAACCTGAAAGTCAGTTCCATCCTGTTCTGGTTACGCATTGCCTCTCCTTCTAAACTAAGCAAGCGAGGACACTTCCAGGGAAGGGTAGGGGGTAGTTTTATGTCATCCAACATGGGTGGTCTATTACTAGGATGAGTAGCCATTATTCTACAGAAATAGTTAACAGTATTCTGACACTGCCCATGACCTCCACTGTGGGTATTAGTTAAGCCCCAGGTCAAAATTTGTAATTAGCTGCCCAAGAACAGCTTTCAAAGAGCTCTGAGTCTTGAGCTACTACCAGGAAGGGCAGTAAGCACAAACCCCTGGCTGCCTGCTCCCTTGGCTCCACAGAGGCCCTGAGGATTCACTCTTCCCACATGTCCCATATCACTCCCAAAATCCAGTGGGATGGGACTACAGTAGTAGGTTCTATTCCTCCTTGCAAAACTGTTTTGTTTCTGGGGAAGTCACAGGCCTTTCCAAGTTGAATTTCAGTAGCTCTGTAAATGAAATGGCTTTGTCCACTGTGCACTGTGAGGTGGTAAAGGCATCAGCTCAGAGCAAGGGCACAATTAAAATGCAAGCCAGTGGAGTGTGTTTCAGCCTGCGGTGCACATCTCCTTAACCCGTGATCAATGAAATGCCCCGCTTGCCTACTAAGCCATAGGACTGGGAGCTTACAAGTGATACTAATCTTTCAATTAGCATAAAAATGACTGCAGAAGAAGTTTAGGGGTTTGAGGCTAGTTGTCGGTCATGGATCACATGGCTGGACCTGCTGACCCACTTCGTGTTCTTTCCCTCACAGGAACACATGCCCACCTTCCTGTTCAATGGCTATGAAGATCTGGACACCTTTAAGCTTCTAGAGGAGGAAGACTTGGATGAGTTAAATATCAGGGACCCAGAACACAGAGCCGTTCTCCTGACAGCAGTGGAGCTGCTGCAGGAGTATGACAGTAAGTTTTCCTGTCCCCACACCCCCAGAAGTGTTCATTGTCAGATCACCACATTATTAGTCACCAGCGGCCTCCTGTGAGCAGCCAGCACATGCATAGTTCCCTGGAGTCACTCATTTGGTCCTACTCCTTCCAAAGCCAGGGTCAGTTTTATATTATATCAAATAGCACCAAGATATGTTTCCAAGTGCAGAACTTCCTGGTCACATGGGAGTGAGAGACAGCCTTACTGCTGGTGTCTTTTCTGGTGTGTTTCTAGGTAATATTGAGGAAAATGCTGCTGTAAGTGACTGGGAATTGAGTTACAGTTTTCTTAAGAAACACAGTAGGTGTCACTTTAGGAACTATGTGGCTTCAGCAGGTCATTAGGATACCTGGGCACAAAAGTGACTGGCACATGGGGAGTATGTTGCCCAGCCAAGGGTTAATTACTTCTCAAAGCACATGAGGAGTTATTTTCTTACTGAATAGATTGGCTAATGAATAAATGAAATTCATTATAGCTTCCATGAAAGAAGCAGGAAATGGCTGCAGTGAAGACGTAGAGCAGAGAATTCCATGTCCCAAAGGCTGGGTGGAAATGATAGCTCATTTTTACAGCCCGTGAACAGAATTCAGTGGGCTCTCAGCTTTTATGGGGCCTGTTTGAATACACTGTGTCCTTTGCTCCATTAACCTAGTCTTATCTTGCTCTTTATTCTTCAGTCTGACATCAAAAATATTTTTGAAGTTGTTCATCACAAAGGGAGCATCCTTTCCAGTTACTGAATTCAAATGCATTTTCTTTCAAGTTCTCTGCTTCGGGGTGTCAGCAGTTAGTAGCATTTTTGTTGTTAAGACACACCCAACCATGGTTAATGGTGGGTGGAAAAATTATACATTACTGAAGGCACCAGGCCCAGAGACAGGGAAGCACGTGTCTCCTCTCAGTTCTGCTCAGTAGGTGCTCCCTCTAAATTAACTGATAGAGGGGACCACACTCCATCAAGTAGATGTCTGAACCCTAGACAAACACACTGCCTTTGGGTAGGTTTGAACGGAATAGTGTTTTGTAGTTTATAACCACGTCTCTTCAGTATTGGAAGTGTGTCTTGGTGTTGGGGGTCTGTGGCCAGGTTGTGTGTTCAAGAGCCTGGCCCAGTGCCTGGTGTGGCCAACCAGCTATATTAATAACAATTCAGGTTGAGTCTCCTGGACTACATCTGCTCTATAAAATAGCTCATTTGCTCTTCCTTAGTCACTGAGACAGCTGGTTTGTAAACCCCATCCATTACGTTTCCTGTGAGAACATAGGTGGAGCAATGCTAAAGATGGAGTAGAAGGCAGGGTCTTTGCTGAGCCTGTGTTATATCTCATTGGCTCAGACTCAGTGTCCTTCCTGGAATCCCATCCTGAGATTTGCACCAGGAGGTATTTTGTAAGGGGGAATCTTTGCCCATCATGATGCTCACTCAGAAGTCCAAGGAGAGACCTTTGCTTCTCAAATTCTATTTCAGATGTATGCTGTGCCATTGTTCACAGCATTCCTAGTGTGTAAAGCAGCCCTTCCTTTTATTGGCTCTAAGACAAAGGCTTTCAAGTCTCAGCAGTGCTTATTATGACAAAGATTTGGGTCCAGATGATAAGATTTTACATTCAGTGCAGTTAAATTCTGTGTTTAAGAAGTGTTCTAAGTAATCATTTAGAGGAATATAGTAGATATATGTCAAACTAAATTCCTATACACTGGACAGGTTCTGCGATCTACTGAGGTCTTAGAGATCTTGCAAGTTTTCTAGCTCTGCTTCCCACAAGAGCAAGAAGCACATCTACCAGCCTGTCTTGTTGCACCCACGGCCTTCCTACAGGGCTCCATTTGGAAAAGACTCTCATTGTCTGATAGCAGTTGCTTACACTGATCCCGAACCCACTGTCCTATGTCTGCCTAGTTGAAAACTTCTTTGAGATAATACTTTTTATAAGAATTTTAATGAGCAGTTATTTCAAATATGCAGAAAAGTACAGAGAAAAATAAAACATCCATATATATACCTTCTAAATCGAACTAAAGTGAACATTTTTGCTTCCATTCTTTTCTTTTAAAGAAATAAATGTTACAAGCCCATTGAAAGGCCTGCTATCCAAGAATTCCATTCCTTTTTTCTTCTTTCCGAGGTAACTACTCTCCAGAAAATGGCGCATATCCTTGTGCACAAGAACCATCTGACATTTGACTATCTTGTCAATGTCTTAGCATATTCTTCCTCCTCCTGTGTGTGTGTACGTGTGTGTGTGTGTTGAGGTGGGGATGGGAGAGAGCTCTAGCCTAAGCATAGTCCCTTCAGGACCAAGTTCGGGTCATGCCCCAATGGGGTTTCAGCCCCACAACCCAGTCCTCGCTCTTGCTTTGACTGTGAGAATTTTCCTGGTTCTAGCTCACCTTTCTTCTTTGTACCTTGACATTAATTATAGTAAGGGAGAGGATATGACCTTGATTCTGCTGCACATGTAAGGGGTACCCCACCTCTTCTTTCTCTGTGGTGAAGGAGGTCAAGTTGCTGGGAAACTCTGGCTTTTAGTTTTCGGGAATTTTGTTAAACTTGATAGTTAGGTTTCTGCTAAGTAGCTGCTGATTGAATCCCTTAGGAAGAAAGTGACAGCAGCCCTTCGACATATGCCTTGTGATTTTATAAATAGAACTGGTTTTTGGGCAGTGCGAGTGACTCCTTCCCTCCCCGTGATAACTTCAGGTGCCGTGCTGTGTCTGATGAGGCTGGCGTACCCAGCGATGCAGACATAGTTTGCATCTTCATGCAGTGGCAGGGGACAAGTGTTCTGTTTTATTCCCATTGGTCAGCACTTTGGGGATTGTTTTAGCTGAAGCAGTAACTGGTCTTGCCAAGGACAAACTATGTTGATTCCTCTTCCTGGGTTGTAACTGATAGCTCANAACTGTCTTGCCAAGGACAAACTATGTTGATTCCTCTTCCTGGGTTGTAACTGATAGCTCAAAGCCCTCATTTTGTAAGTATCATTTTCCTAAATAACATGCTGGGATAGGACAAAGGCCACTCCAAATCCACAGACACTGCTACACAATGAGAACATCACTCTAGAATGTTCCACTTTTTTGTGTGGGGGAGAGGGTAGAGTTTGGTCTTGTACTTCCAATTAGTTTTTCATTAATCATTTAAAAAATAGCACTTCTCAATTTAGGGGCTTAATTTAAGGGCCTACCCTGCCATGATTTCTGCTATGATTTCTGTTATAAAATGCTTTCCATGTGAGAAATACAAACAGGAAGTGGTGAGTGGGTGTAGAAGCAGCTGACCCATGTGTGGGATGGCAGCCCTCTGCCTTCCCACGATTTATTTTCTTAATGACCTGAGAAAAGGCATCAGATTTCAGGTTTATTGAGTTCTTTTTTCTTTGTGTATGTGGTGGGGGGAGGGTAAGTGAAAAGGAAAATAAAGTTGTTCATCATGCAACTAGTTATTTTATGTAGGAAATGTTTCCTTAGTTTCTGTGTTATGTGACCAAGCACTTAGTCTGCATAACAGTACAAAGATGTTCTTTGTGTAACCTCGATCCCAAGTCCTGCCACACGTGCCCTCATTGTGCAGCGTGCAGAGTGACACTGCTGGCTGATGATGGCCCACGGGACTTCCCACAGGACCCGCTCCAGGCAGACTTTCACTCACCCAAAACATCTGCTTCTCTTTAGGATGCAGACTTTCAGCTTTCAGTCATCCGCCTGCAGAGTATTTACCCAGAGTCCCTGTTAGAGGGCTTCCTGAGCTTTCCCTGCCTTATCCTTTGAACAGGAATGCTGACCCAACCCAAAGGGAGAAGGCAAAGGGAAAGAATGCCCTATAGCTGAATCCAAACAACAGACACAAAAGGATTTGTCCCTGGCTCCTCCTGGGTGTAGGGGTTTTTGTTCCCTTCTGCCAGCCTTGTTTCATTGAGATAATGCGATGGCCAGCCCGTGTCACCAAGGCCAAAGAATGTTTGTAAATTGTAATAAAATTTGATACTTCATTTGACACTTTTATAGTAGCTCTTAAATTTGGAAAGCATGTGACAAATAACTTGAAACACAAATCTTAGAGATTTCTAAAAAGCGTAGGACACAACAACAGCTCCTTGTGAAAGTGACATGCTCACTCTTTGCTTCTGTTCCATGGGACCATCCCTAAGAAAGGACTGTGGTTTCTTTTCCCCCACTATTGACACAAGGCTCTGAGTGCTTTCTCTCCATGAATGGTTTGAAGCCAGAGTCACCCTCTGGGTAACTTAAAGGGCATTGACATACTCCAACTATCACTCTCAGTCTCCAAATTTATCTTCCTGTGATACTTTATTTGAAAAGAAAAATGTTCTTCCAAAAGCCCAAGGCTTAAACATGTATGGTATGCATGGTGATAACTGATGGTAAACCTGGGATTTGGTTGACTTAAGATTCCATGCTTTATGCTCACCTTCTCCAGGTAACAGTGACCAGTCAGGATCTCAGGAGAAGCTGCTTGTTGACAGCCAGGGCCTGAGCGGATGCTCCCCACGAGACTCAGGATGCTACGAAAGCAGTGAGAACCTGGAAAATGGTAATGTCGTTACAGATAATCATGGAGGCATCTTTGTGTGCAAACCGCTTGGGTCATTTCTTGACATCTGTGCTTTGGCTAATGACTTTCTTCCTCTGCCTGAGACTTTGGGAAATACTGGCAATAGAGGGAGGAATTTTTCCAGGATTATTGGTGCTTAATTAAGATCCTTAGGAAGAGTGAATATCCCCCAAGAACCTAGGCAACTGATGTTCTTGAGAAATGACTACAGCCGTCCTCTCATCAGTTATCCTTTCGTACCTCTTCGGATATAAATGGAGAGTTCAAGACTAAACTTGTGTGTCAGAGAAAGGGACCCTCAACTTTCCATTGTCCTGAAGCTCTCAGAGTCTTAACACCCAGTGTAGATCATGAAAAGAGCCGTGGGATTTCAAGTGAGGAGACCTGGGGTTTGAACCCTGAATAGAACATTTATGAGCTGAAGACTTTGGTCAAGTTAACTTCATGTCTTTGAGCTCCCTTAGCTCTGAAATAGCAAGATGAGTTTCTCTCTGAGATTGTTGTAAGACTTAAACAAAACAATAATATGTTAATATCTAGTATTTATTCAACATTGGATATGAATTGGGCAGTGGACTCGGTGCTTAACGTATGTATTGCCCATGATCACTCAAGGCATATTTTCTAGAGAAAGACTTCAAAGCTCAGAGGTTATGTAATAGCTGAAGCTGTTTTTCTTTCCCTTTAGACCATCTCACCTGGCACCACCCTGGCTCGTAACAGGCCCTCAGTATTTTAGACCTTACTTTCCAATACCATAAGCATCTTCAAGTCCATACTCTCCTTGGTGTCATCATATGTCAACCAGTGGTGTCTGGGCTTCATTGAACTTTAAGCCAGAAGAGATGTAGTTTGTATTTTTATAATAAGTACTTTCAGAAACCAGGGGTAGATTAAATAAGAGGACCTATTTTTAAATAAGGAGAAAGTACATACCGTGGAGGACCTCTGCATACTTGTTTGCTTATTTACTCTGTGGAGCAAGATCTCAGTGCTTGGGACTGTCATGTATGGGCCTCTCATTTCAATATGAAGATTTTGAGGAGCCTCTCTGAGAACATGATGGGAAGCCAGGGCCTGAAGGTTTGGTTCCTCCAGCATCATCATCCCTCTCCTCAGTGTTTCTCTTTCACACATAGCCCAGGCGGGGGCAGCCCTCGGTCTTCAGACCGTGCCAGTGAAGCAGGCAATCATGTTAGCTTGGGGGGCACAGTTAGAGTGGCTCCTTCAGTGAAAAGAGATTCTGGCTGTGGTCTATCAAAGATTACAGTATGAAGATATCTAATACCAAAATAAAGTGAAAAGACAGACTTTATCCAAGCATTCATTGCTTCATTTTTTGTGGAAGCTAGATCTCTGAAAATAAAGGGCATATGATTACATCCTAAAATATTATACTTTGTTTTTCAAAAATCTCAAAATTTCTGACCAGCCATACAGAACACAACTGCCCACATCTCATACGGTGCTTCCTTCCTTCTCCTTTAGAGAGCATGACTATGGGCTCAGAGTTGTGGTCCCCACACTACATCGTTGGGCCAGCCCTGCCCACGGTCTAGTTACTGGGAGTCACCAGAGAACGTGTTTTTTTGCCATTAGTTGGAGCATTGAGTCCCATACCCACTGCAAATGATGGCCTCTTAGAATCAGTGACTTATAACATGTCCTCCATAGTTATATGCACATGGAAGACAATCAATAAACAGATTTTGGGACAACAGGATCAACCATGCATTTAATTTTGGAAAGCAACATAACGGTATACAACAGGGTCTAAAATTGCCAGAAGTTTGCAGTTCAAACAAACTAAAAGCATTTGACTCCCCCCCCCCC